AAAAAAAAAAAAAAAACAAAGAAAGAGTGATGTTAGTTGTAGGATCATCATAGATATATTTTATCAGGTTATCCTAGTTTTCTGAGAATTTTCATTATACATGGTTGTTGAACTGGGGGTGTTATTGAATTTTCTCAAATACTTTTTCTACATCTGTTGAAATGATCATATGATTTTTTTTTTCTCTTTTATTCTGTTAATGTGGTGAACCACATTCATTTTCAAATGTTTAGCCAACCTCATATCTTTAGATAAAAACAGTACTTGGGGCCAGGTGCAGTGACTCATCCTGTAATCCTAGCACTCTGAGAGGCCAAGGCAGGACTCCCTTGAGCTCAGAAATTTGAGACCAGCCTGAACAAGAGTAAGACCCCATCTCTACCAAAAATACAAAAATTAGCCAGGTGTCATGGTGGGCACCTCTAGTCTCAGCTACTTGGGAGGCTGAGGCAGGAGGATCACTTGAACCCAGGAGTTTGAGGTTACTGTGAGCTGTGACCCCATGGTACTCTATCCTGGGCAACAGAGTGAGACACAGTCTCATAAAAAAACAGAAAACAATATTTGGTCATGTGTTACTTTTTTATATATTGCTGAATTCCATTTGCTATTATTGCTTGAATTTTTGTATCAATGTTCATGAGGAATATTGGTCTGCAATTTTATGATAATATCTTTGTCTAGTTTTGGTACTGTGACCTCAAAACCAGTTAGAATGTGTTCTTTCCTTCTCTTCCATTCTTAAAAGGCTTGTATATGCTTTGTGTTATTTATTTGGTAGATTCACTAGTGAAACTATCTGCATCTGGAGTTTTCTTTGTGGGAAGCCTTTTCTTATTTTTTTTTTTTTTTTGAGACAGAGTCTCAGGCTGTTGCCCTGGCTAGAATGCCGTGGTGTCACAGCTCACAGCAACCTCAAACTCTTGGGTTTAAGTGATTCTCTTTTCTCAGCCTCCCAAATAGCTGGGACTAAAGGCACCCACCACAACACCCAGCTAATTTTTGGTTGTAGTTGTCATTGTTGTTTGGTAGGCCTGGGCTGGATTCAAACCTGCCAGCTTCAGTGTATATGGCTGGTGCCCTAGCCACTGAACTACAAGCGCCGAGTCTGTAGAAAGCCTTTTGATTACAAATTCAGTTCCTTTAATTAGATATTGGTCTGTCCATATTTTCTGTTTCTTCCTGTGTCAATTTTGTTTTTGTTTGTTGTTGTTGTTGCAGTTTGGCTGGGGCCAGGTTCAAACCCGCCACCCTCAGTATATGGGGCCAGTGCCCTACTCACTGAGCCACAGGCACTGCCCCCCCATGTCAATTTTGATACTTTATATATTTGTGTCTTCTATGGAATGGAATTTGTCTATTTCATTTAAGTTGCCATAAAGTTAATAATACCCTCTTATCATTCATTTAATGTCTGTAGGATCCATAGTGATACCCATACTTTTATTCCTGATATTGGTAATTTGTGTCCTTTTTCTCTTGATCAGCCTAGATAGAGGCTTGCCAATTTTATTGATTTCAAAGAACTAATTTTTCTCTTTTGTGCTTTGCATTTTATTGATTTTCATTCTTTATCATTTCTTTTCTTTTCTTTTTTTTTTTTTTTTTT